TATATGTATATTCAAAAGAAACAAGGAAATTCTTAGCAAAAAAGCAGAATAGAGGTATCTCCGCAGGAGAGGGAAGGTAATGTAAACAGAAAGGGAAACATGAAGCTTCTAGAGGACTACAAATGTTTTATTTCTTAGGTTGGGGGCTGGGCAAGCAACAGATCCTTTTGGTTATCATTTAAACTGAGCTGGTAAATGTTCTGTACATTTTTATGAATATTATCTATGTCAGTAAAATTGCATGCCTATATATATATATGTTTATATTTCAGAAAAAAATCAATCTATGATTTTGAGCCAAGAGATAGTTATTGATATATTAGAGAGCTTTAGGCCACCGCACAATGTGTCGTTTGGGGGTTTTATTTTGTTTTTGTTATTTTGCACAACTACTGCAAAGTAAAACTGCCTCCAAGTCCGGTAGGAGACTCCTCTTTGGGCACTTATGCTAGTGATTGTGGTCGTTAAAATTTTATTCCCGATACACCTGCTACTCCCACCCTTGTCCACTGTGTTACTGTTGCAACAAAAAAGCTACCATATAATGTGAGAGCCCTGTTACTACCAACAGGTCTAGGAGCGAGGACAGGAAGGGGATGCCTGCTTCAGACTGCCAGGGGAAGCAAACAGATGGTTGGCACTGCTGGGCAAGAGTCAGTGACTGTCCTGTATTTGGGAAGTGAGCAGACATTAGCTGGAAGATAATCTTCCAGTGCAGGGCCATAGGTGGCAGGTGGCAGAGAGACATTCTCAGAGGCCCCCAAATAAGCGGGCTAAGATGACAGAACAGAATCTGAGAGCTCAGGCAAAGCAGCCTGGGCATGGGAATGGCTCCTGGGGCCATTTAAATGATGAGGTGATAGGCACTAAATGCTGAGGAAACTCCTAGGGCAGGGCAATCAGTCACTGCCAGGCTTATCTTCTGACAAGGGGTAGGACTCCAGCTTGCAGCTGTAACATTAAAACGTAATGTGTCCACTGGGATTTGGTGTGGCAGGTTTCCCTGAAGCTTCGGTTTCACTCAGTTAACTAATTATGAGAGAATGTGACATTGGTATTTACTTTTTCTACAGGAACAAATCATTCCCAGCAGGAGAGACAGTTTGTTATTTTTGTTCTGTTTTGTTTTGTCATTAAAAAGAGATTACTTACACGGTAGTAAATAAACTCTTGTTAGAGGGAATTTTTTTTTTTTCTCTATAATTCTATCACTTCACCTTAATGCTGACAATCATTCCTTTTGGTTTCCAGAGACCTGGTACATAAATGAGCAAGAGGTGGGTATTAGATCTGGGTTTGAAAATTAACTCTACCACTTACTAGTGTGATCTTAAGCAAGTTATTTATTTAAGTACCACGAGCCTGTTTAACACATCTACTGTGTACTATTTGTTCAAGATGAAATGAAGTAACACAGTTGAAGTACTTTAGCACAGTGTCTCTGCATAAAAAAAGTGCTCGATAAATTTTGGCCTTAATTCTTAATGACTCTGATACTATTTTATACAAATAGGAACATTTTACATTTCATTTTTGCCTTATATGGTCAGTTTTCTATAGGACCCTGCATCTAATCATGAACTGTATCTTCACTTTGTCACTTCAAGCTGCACTGTGTATTAACCATCTTACTCCTCCTCATCCAGATATAAGAAGGCTTCCAATGAAAACACAATATTTAATGATAACATAGAAGCAAACAGTTTTCTACCCCTCCTCCATCCCCAGTACACCTTTTAACTTCTCAAAGACAGTAGGCAAAGCTGAGCAAACATCACTAATCAACTCACATCTCCTCATCCACTCCCTGGACAATAATAGCATTGTGTTTGGGGTGCTTTTAGCAAACTGGAAAGATATTGCACAGATGATCTCCCACTTGAACTCATAATCCCATGAGGTAGGCAGGGTAGGTATGATGAGCTCCACCTTACAGATAAGTGAGTGGTCTAAGAGAGGGTAAATGACAGAGCCATGACATCCAAACCTATTTTCTGTGAAAGGTGATCTGTGGGAACTGAGAATGCTGGGCATATTGGACTTCAGAAAATTAGATTTTCTCAAGAACAAAGTCTGTTTTGAAGGTAGCCAGAGCAACCGTTAATAGAGAGAAAAGTTAAGATCATTGGTAGTAAGCTAACAAAACAGAAAGTCAAGAGGCAGGGGGCTTTATATCCCAATTTCACAATCCCTTTGCCCAAAGAGCCTCAGTTTTTCTATCGCCAAATTTGAGAAAGCAAAAATGTTACTTCTTCCAATTCTTAAAAGCACACATACTGTAATATCATTATTGCTTACAAATGTAAGCTTGATAGACTATTCAGGAGGTTTAACGAGAATCACAAAAACATGAACAATTAAAAATGTATAAGCATGAGAAAACATATTTTAAGTGCTAGTAGAAAATCTTGGTGGTAAAAGAAAAGGATAAGAATATTTTACAAGGATACATGGGCTAGAAGCTGATGGGAAATTAATAAGATTAGACAAGTCAGCACTGAAATTTCACATTACATATTAGAGTAATTTTTGGAATTTGCAGAATCAAACCTAGACGCATGGACATGTAATAACCTCTGAAGCCATGAAAATATAAAAGCCCTCAAATTTGGATAATGTTTCTTTAACTAATCATATATACTAGTTTTTTTTTTGTTTTTAAAGATTTTATTTATTTATTTGAGGGAGAGAGAATGAGAGACAGAGAGCACGAGAGGGAAGAGGGTCAGAGGGAGAAGCAGACTCCCCGCCGAGCAGGGAGCCCGATGTGGGCTCGATCCCGGGACTCCAGGATCATGACCTGAGCCGAAGGCAGTTGCTTAACCAACTGAGCCACCCAGGCAACCCTATATATACTAGTTCTTAAAATAATTAATTTGGACAGGCTATTCATACTGAGCAAGTCTTTCTGGTGATAGGCATTTTTCAAGGACTTCCAATGATGCTAGCACCTACTCACCTATAGCTCATAATCCCTTAAGAATTCCTAGCAAACTAGAGAATAACAGTTCAGAAGTACCCCCTGCCCCACCCCTTGTTTGGGCATAGGGGACAAGTTCTAATAGATTGGAAGGCCAAAGCAAACAAAAGTCTTTAGGGGAACCATAGATCAAAATAAAAACAAAACACAAGTTTTGAATCAATGGAACTTGGAAGCCCAAGGATCTCTAAACATGCAATAAAAAACCTAGTCGTACCAACACCGATGAGCAAAAGAGCATGCCATAATAGATCATCATTAGGTGGTTGGTTACCTAATTCTGACTTAATAGGTCTACACATGATTTGCCCTATGATCTTCAGAGAATGTGATACATCTTCATGTCAGTATTATGAGAGATTTTATGATATGGCAGAATATGCCTGCCTAAAACTCCCTCTCTTTGTCCTTAACTCACTCACTTAACAAGCATTTGTTGAATGTTTGCTATTTATTTGTTGGGATCTGTATCAAAGAACTCACAGGGGAGACAGGTAAATCAAGCATCAAATTTATGTGTTAAATTCTGGAAGAAAACTATTTCATGCAAATGGTAAGTGGGTCAGAAAGCTCTCAGAGAGGATGAGATGATTAACAAGGTCTCAAATGGTAAGTGTAAACCATGTATATCGCAAAAGGAGTAGCTTCCTGTCACAAAGAACAGCATGGATAAAAGCAGGAAACGTGAACACATGGTGAGTTCCAGAAACTAGATGCAATACCACATGGCTAGAGCATTCAGCATGGGTAGGAGAAGGGGGAAAAGATGCCAAAAGAAGCAATAAGCAGTAGAAGTAAACAAAGATTCCATCATTTAGGATTTCCATTCCACATTAAAATACAATATTGGAAATCTGAATACAATGATTGGTCTATTGATAAGATTTCAGCCCACAGGCAATGGGAGTAGATTTTTGCTGTAGAACAGTGTGGTGTTATCCAAGTGTACGGTGAACTAGAGGATAGAAAACTAGGGTATGGACACCAGTTTTAAAACAATCTTAAAATCCAAGTAAGACATGGAGAGGTCCTGAGCTACAACAATGGGGGTGGAAAAGAGACCAGAGATAAAAGATATATAAAAACCAGAGTTAATAAAATTTAGTGACCAACTAGAATGAGGGGACGAAGAGGGACGCTTACAGCAGCTTTCCTGTGTTATACTTAGCCGGCTGAATGCATAATGGTGCCCTTCACTATTTAGGGACAGCATGAAGAGGAATGCCAGTAGTACGCAGAGTCCTGGTGTATCTCTCTTTTATGAGATTAATCACATTTCACTTTATATTGCAGGAGGTATGTGTCATTCAACCACCCCCTTCACCACTAGACATATAAAGCTCTTTGAGCGGGGAAATTCTGTCATATATCACATTGTCTCTGCGGATGGCCCCAAAAGCGTACTTGTATAACATGATTACATAGTATCACGGACCCACTGTAGACACTTAGTGAACGTTTTGGATGAGTGACTGAATAAATGAACTCCCAAAGTTAGATGTGACAAAACTATTCATTTTATCCTTTGAATGAAATAATTACGTCTTAACTGAATAACTCACCTCAGCTGGGTAACAATTCATACCACTACTGACCAGGTTCATTTCAGTCTTCTAATACTTTTGGCAAATTTCAACATCCAATCTTGAAGGGACTTCTGGGAGTATCTACTACAAACTCTCATTTTAAAGATGAAAATCTATGATCATCCAGAGAAGTTACATGGCTAGCCCCAAGTCACAAAAAGTATCCAGTGATGGGACAGAAATCAGGTAGATACATTAAGCTTCAAACTATCTGTCAACCAAAATGGTTATAATAGATTTGAAGATACTACAAGATACCACATTTAGCTAGGATTCATTGAGTTTTTAAAAGCGCATGACATGTCACACAAAAAAAATACAAGGCCAATGTCTTAGAAACATTTTCTTGAATAATTCTTTCCTCTGACAGTGAAATGCAAGGAATGGAGCTCAACTTTTAATCTTGAATTAGTATAAGTAAGACAGATTCTTACCGTGATCTTCTGAAGAAACTGGTGACCTAAAACGAGATAATAAGCATGATAAATGTTTTGTAAATGATACTGATAATTATAAATGCAATAATGATCAAGGATAATCTCCTAGAAATAGTACCCGCCCAAGTTCAATTAAATAGAAAGTCAATATAGTAGAGAGTGTAATTAATTTGTTGGTCGCATGGTATATTCTAATTGATCACTCCCAAAGCTTACCTGGATTGGTTGGGTGGTTGGGGTTAATAAAATTTCAGTCCACTGCACCATGTCACAGGACTGCAACAAACTTAATTAATTCTGGATTTATGACACACAAATAGAAGTCATAGAAATGTGGTAATGGATAGAATCCTGTGATGTCACCAAAGGCCAGGCCTCCAGAAAATAATAAATAAACAGTGTTAATAAATAAATAGTGTTTAAATAAACACTAGATTGAGTGTAAGTAAAAAGAAACCTACTTGGACAGTAAAAAAATGAGACAGAAGTAAAATAAATGATGTGTACCCTTATCACTATTGTTTTTTGTTTTCACTCTTTGTGGAATTTAAGGTTTAAGTGAGCATGACATAGACCCTCTGTGTGCTGGCCTCATAGCTCTCCACCACAATGAGGCAAGAGTGCAACCACTGGAGTCCCACAGAACTTTTATAAATCGATGACTTTTGCACACCATTTGGGGCTCAGCTCCAATTATGTTAGGAAGACACCGATGAAGCATCATATCAATATCAATCAATTTTCACAATAAAAAACCTTTCTTTCTTCCTCAGCTGACCACTAATTGAGTTACTCTGAGCAATACAGATACAGCCTTGAGGATGAATTCCCCTCAAGCTTGAAAGACACAGTCTTGACTCTACCAGCTCATTCTTTCCTTGGGATAAAGTGAGATATATAATTCTGTACTAACAAGTGGTAGAATTTTGAAGGGAAAGGCAAGAAACCAGCCAGGAGGCAACTTCTGTTCTAAATGATCAGCCTGCTGGGGACCATAGCAGGAGGATGACAAAGGGAAATGCCAGAGTTTAGTAATATGCCCATTAATGTAACTAGTGTTGGGGCAAGAATGATTCCATGGATGCACAGCAGTTGAAGGAAGATTTTAGCTACTTCGGAATGCTTGAGAATGCTTTACTTTATCTACTGATCTGTGATATTTTGTCCATTATGTGACTTATCAGTAAAGTATAAGGACACAGCAGTCATGGTGGGAAAGCCTTGAACTTTCCTTAGTGGCAAATTGTCAAATCATTTCAACCTTACCAGTCTCTTCAAGTGAACTTTTGCATGTGAAAACAACAGAGGATCCCCAGATTTGGTAGGGAGAAAACTGGCATCTGGGTGACGGGCACAGGGAGCCCTGAGAGGGAACCTGCCGCAGGCGAAGTCATCCCTGTGGTGTTGGCTGCCTGAGAAGTGCCACTTAGCCTCCCCAAGTGGAGCAGATCTGGACTCTCTTTGGGATTCCCCTGTTTCACACTATCACACACCCCTCCTCCCCACTGGGCTGTGAGCAAATAGAAAACTAGGACCACTTCTTACGTAGTACAGAATGGGCCTCTGATTAACATTTGTTGAATTGAATTAATGTCAGCACCACCACACTGGTGTTTAGACTCAAACGCATTTTGGAGCGCCTCAAAAAAATCATCATGTTACCTTCAAACCACACACAAGACAGGTTTGCCAAGCTCCTAGGCCAGCCATGAGGGAAGGGCCTAGGGAGTGAGACAAGCTCCAGGGTAGGGATAATGTAAGCACTCCCAAAGCCAAAAGACATCCAATACACCCAGCAACAGAGGCCCACAATCTGCCCTCGTGGTTAGGAAAAAGAAAGGGGCAGAGAGTGCTGAATAGAAGTGAATGGGATTGAAAGGTGAGTCTAATGAGAAACATATATTTGAAATAAGATCATTTCTTAAGATGCCTAGGGCATCAAAAGAAGTCAGCAACAAGGTAACATCTTCAGCCCTGGTGTTTTCTGATGGGAATTAAGCAGAAACACATCTTGGATTGTTGGCAATTAATTTCTCACAGAGCTCTAGGAACAAAGAAAAATCCATGCCAACAGATAACTAAATGTCTCAGGTAGAAGGCTTGCGAAGCAAGGCTTTTGGTGCCTTTTGTGAAAGCAAAGCACTAATATTAAATCTGAAAAATTCCAGATGGCTTCGTTAAAGTCCCGAGAGGATGCAGTTGTCCAGGCAGTGGGGAAGAACTATCCATTTCAGAGTGTTTGCTAAGGATTAGTCATGTTGAGTGTCTGTGCGGAATGTTTCCCACATGCCTGGATTTGTGGAATTTTAAGACATATGGAGTATTTCAATCCTCACTCAGTATTTCACCTTTCACTCTAGCGAGTCACTAAATTACACTACTGAGACATGCACATCATCCATTATTGTTGTAAAGGGGCATAAAAAGTTTTACAGAACTTAGCCCAGGAGAGAGGAAAACTCATGAAATCAGCAAGAGAAGTAGTTATTTTTAAAACAGAGGTTGAACCCCAGGAACAGATAATCTTCCTCAACCTGACAACTGAGGAATGCAGGAGAGTTCACTGCTCATTCCTCCCACTGTACCTGCAAGACTTGTGGTTCTGTTCCAGGCTGTTTACTTCTCCTCCATCTACACTTTATTTCAGGGATAGCACTGTTCTCATAATGCAAATTACAACCAGCATTCACAGAACCCCAGGATTTAGAGTTCTCGCCTCTTTCCTTAGTACCAGCCTTTTATGACAGTCTATAGAATATTTACACTTGATTCTGCTTCATTTTGTTTTGTGGGTTTTTTAAAAAAAAAAAAACGTTTTTATTTACATTTCATTAAAATTCAGCAAATAACAAAAACAAAGTCCTGGATTTTAAAATCTCTCTCCTGTTTTAAATCTTTCCATTTATGTTGATTCAAACCTAAATAATAATGATTATTTGAGACCCTATTAGGTACCAGGCCCTGTGCCTCGTGATGCGGATACAAAGATGAACAGCTACCAATTTCAAGGAATTCAATCTGGTGAAGGAGAAAAATAGGTAATGATTATAGTGAAAAAAAGTGTAATCATCAAAATATGTATGAAGTAAAGAGGGAGCATGAGAGAGAGACCCATTCTGTTCCAGAAGAGTGGGAGAGACTTCAGAAAGCAAGAACCATGGGAATTGGGCTTGGAAGGAAAAGCAGAAGCTTGTTAGGTAAGTAAGAAAGGAGAAGAATGCCAGGCAGAAGCACCAGGCATACGACAGGGAATGTGGATAGGAAATTTCATAATACGTTATCAGGCAGACAAGGAACTCGGTGTTGCTAAAGCATAAAGGAGTGGCAAGTTAGGACTGGAGACAGAAGAGGCAGGGGTTGTTTCATACAGGGCCTGGCGGGCCATTTTGATGTGCTGGTAATTTACCTTCTAAGCTAAATGAAGTGAATTTTGGAAACAGTGAGGTCATACATTCTCATTGGTGCTTCTGACCAGGCAGGCTGTGCAGATTAGAAGAAAAAAGCAAGAATAAAGGCAGAAGATAAATTAAAAACTATTACTGCAAAGCTTCTGTTCTTCTTTTTGAAATTCATGAAAAGTAACAGGGCGAATGAGAAACAGAAAAGGAAGCATCATCTTTGACTAAGCTAGAAGATACCCATAAACCGAAATCATCTATAAAGAAGAGCTACCAAGTGCAGGAAAAACTGGGCCAAGTTTCCGGGAAACAGAGAAAGCATATTTTGATCTGAAAAGATATGAGCTACACCGTGCACCCCAAAATCTAGCAGAAAGCCCTCCACTCTGAGCCAGGTGTCCTGCTAGTCAGAAGTGGAATCAAAACCCCAGAGGTTAGTGCTGTTAAAAAAGAGTTTGAAAACAGACCCAAAATCAACTTCCAGCAACACACAAACCCACTATCCCTAATTATCCGTTCCAAACTAACAGTTCCAAAAAGAACTCCTCCAAAACAAATATGAGTAATAAAGAAAAAGGAACCAGCATGCTATCTACATGAAAATACTCCAAGAAGAAAGCAGGGTAAGGATCTGAGGACAAACAAAGCTTACGGTAGAAGTACACTAAAAAGATAATGGTGGGGGCAGGTAAACACTATTAACAGACCTCCATGAAATATAGAAATGGGAAAAGGGAAGGAGGGAAAGAAGGAAGGAGTAAAGGATGGTATAGTGCCTCTGTGACCAGAAACATAAAGAAGAAATACAGTGGTTACGAAATAGTCCTAATACTACAGCAGAAAAAAAGAGCAAACGCTGGTCCAGAGTCTTAGAATCAGTAAATTATAGAAACAGTTTGGTCCATATATACAATGGAATATTACTCAGCCATCAGAAAGGACGAATACCCAACTTTTACATCAACACGGATGGGACTGGAGGAGATTATGCTAAGTGAAGTAAGTCAAGCAGAGAAAGTCAATTATCATATGGTTTCACTTATTTGTGGAACATAAGGAACAGCACGGAGGCCATTAGGAGAAGGAAGGGAAAAATGAAGGGAGGTGGAATCGGAGGGGGAGATGAACCATGAGAGACTATGGACTCTGAGAAACAAACAGGGTTTTAGAGGGGAGGGGGGAGGGGTAATGGGTTAGCCCGGTGATGGGTATTAAGGAGGGCATGTACTGCATGGAGCGCTGGGTGTTATATGAAAACAATGGATCCTGGATCACTACATCAAAAACCAATGATGTATTGTATGGTGACTAACATAACATAATAAAATTTAAAAAATTAAAAAAAAAAAGAAAGAGCTTGAGGACTCTTTCTGCTTTATCACCACTGCATTGGGAAAAGACTATTAAGAGGAGGTAAAAGATCCATAATAACTAAAAATGTATTAAGATATAAGCCACTGATTTATTCATCCATTCAAGTAACTGCTTTGTAGAAGTGTCTTGCTGTTTTTCAGTTTGATTTACTTTTCTGTGAATTTTTTTTGGCTTTTTAAGTTTTTATTTTAATTCCAGTTAATTAACATACAGTGTTATATGAGTTTCAGGAGTACAGATATAGTGACTCA